TATCCTATGTCATCGTAGGTTTTGTCATCTTCAAGCTCCAAATTCGTTTGTTTTTTCATTAGTTTCTAGTTTTCGTAAATTTAGTTCTTTAAATAAATTGTGTAATGCTTGTCAATTAGGAAAGCATCATCGTCTATCTTTTAATTCTTTTCATGTTTGTAGATTATTTCCTTTTCATCTTATTTATTCTGATGTGTGGACATCACCAATAAAATCTTTTAGTGGCTTTAAATACTATGTGGTGTTTATGGATGACTTCTCTAGATTTATACGTTTATTTTCTATTAAAAGTAAAAGCCAGGTCTTTGAGAAATTTTAGAATTTTCATCGCTTTATTGTCACCCAATTTGGTTGTTATATCAAAATTTTGCAATGTGATAGTGGTGGAGAATTTATTACTAATAATTTTAAGACTTTTGCAGGTCAACTGGGGCTTCATATGCAATTTTTATGTCCCTACATGCCCCAACAAAATGGCACTGCTGAAAGGGTGCATAAGACTTTGATTAGGACTATTCGAACTATATTCCTAGAAGCTTCTATGCCACCTGAGTTTTAGGTAGAAGCAATAAAAATGGCAGTGCATGTTCATAATTTAACTCCACGGCAATCACTGAAATATTTTTCTCCAATAGAAAAATTGATGGGCAAGAATCCTGACTACAGTCATCTACAGATATTTGGCAGTCTCTGTTATCCAATTAACGGCCAAAGTAGCAAGAAAATTAAAAGCAAGATCAGTTCCATGCTTCTTTATCGGATATTCAGATAATTACATGGGATACATATGTTTTGATCCAAAGAGAAAGGTGGTACATCTCTCTAGCCATGTTACTTTTGATGAATTTTGATTTCCTTTCAATTCTTTATCTATCAAAACTGATAAGTCTGTTGGTGTTCCTAATTTTATCCAAACACTACCTCCTTCTCCTACTCTTCCTGAGTTATCCATCACAAATGCCCAGCCACCTGCCACAAGTGGCCTGCCTTATGCCACTGTCGACTAGCCCCATGCCACTTCAACCCATCCTCATCCAAAATCAGCTTCTGCCTATGACTCAACCACCTCGCCATTACAACCTGACATAACGCAACAAGATGTTTGCATCCGCCACTATCGCCCCCATCTTTATCTACACCAGCCAAACTACGAACAAATCCTACCAAGCCGAAATAACCCAACCAAAAACATCCCATGTTAACACATTCCGAAACTGGTAACAGCAAACCTAAAATGCTTAAATCTCTAATTGTTCACCAAACCCACTCTCACCCAAATACCAACCTTATCCCAAAGGAACCAATGTGTTTACAGAGGCAAATAAAGATCCAAATTGGAGGAAAGCAATGTCTAAAGAATATAATACTTTAATGCAACAACAGCTGTGGAATTTAGTCTTGTCCCCTTAGGATGTCAATATTATTGGGTCAAAATAGGTCTTCAAAATAAAAGTAAAAGCTGATGGGCACTTAGAAATATATAAAGGCCGGTTGGTGGCCCAAGGTTTTGCTTAACAACAGGGCATTGACTATAATGAAACCTATAGCCCGACTGCAAAACCCACAATGATAAGGACGTTACTTTCATTGTTATTTCACATGGTTGGCATGTGCATCAACTTGATGTTAAAAATACTTTCTTGCATGGACATTTACATAAAGATGTTTTTATGAAATAATCCAAGGGATTTATTCATCCAGATTATCCAGACTATGCTTGCAAATTGGAAAAAGCTATTTATGGGCTCAAGCAAGCTCTACGGGCTTGGTTTGAGCGTTCATAAGTTTTTTAAAATTGTATGGATTTATTTGTAGCTGAGCTGATAGTTTGATGTTTATATTCAAACATGGGGCCGACATAGTCATCATTTTACTATATGTGAATAATATCATGTTAACATCATCTTCTTCTTCTTTGTTGCAACATATTATTGGTTCTTAAAACTGAATTTGCTATGTCTGACTTAGGAAAGCTCAATTATTTCCACGGCATACAAGTCACATACAATTTGAATGGGATGTTTCTGGATCAATCTAAATATGTCGAGAACTTGTTGGAGAAATCTGGATTGCAGTATTCGAAACCAATTGAAACTCCAACAACATTCAAACATTCATTAAGCTCATCATTGGACAGCCTATTATTGGATGATCCATGACACTATAGAAGTATTATAGGGGCATTACAATGCTTAACTTTTACACAGCTTGACGTATCTTATGTCGTTAATCAAGTGTACCAACATATGCAAGCACCAAGAAAAGTTTATCTACAAGCAGTTAAATGCATCCTTCGTTATCTCAAAGGGATAGTTAACTATGGCCTTCAAATATACGAAGGACACAACAACTCCTTAGTTGTATATTTAGACGCTGATTGGGCAATTTTCCAAGACATGAGACGATCGACCACTAGCTTTGCAATTTTCTTGGGCAACAATATTTCATCTTGGTCAGCTAAGAAGCAACCCACCGTCTCACGTTCCAGTGCTGAAGTGGAGTATCGGGCTGTTGCAAGTGTCGTGGCAGATTTGATGTGGATTGAACAATTAATACATGAATTGGATATTCAAATTCAACATTCGCTGGAGGCCTTTTATGATAACATAAGTGCAACATACATGTCCACCAATCCCATACAGCATGCACGCACCAAACATGTACAGCTATATGTCTATTTTATGCGTGAACGGGTGCTAGCTCGACAACTTCTTGTGTGTCATGTCTCCAGTAAAGAACAAATTGTGGACATCTTCACCAAATGATTGCCAAATAGTAGATTCCGTCAATTTTGTGCCAATCTTAGTGTTCTACCACACTTCGATTGAGGGGGGATATTGATAGATACAGTTATTGATAGTTATTTTTCATGATAATATTATATTTATCTTATATTGATAATTATCATTCATGATAATATTGTATTTATCTTATAGTTATTTATGATTATTACATATAGAACACTTGTTGTATAAATACATTCTAATTGATACATAATGGAAGCAGAGAGAATTATTCCATAAAATCTTTCAAAACTCAACCTAAAACCCAAATGTTAAAACTCAACCTCTCTTCTTTTTTTGTTTAAAAACTCAACCTCCCTTTTGCATGAATTAACCCATCCTTCTTTAACTTAGTTTATGTTTTAACCAAGACGACACAATTTTGGTTAGATATTAGGGTTTGAGATTTGCAATTAAATTATTGTGCATTTTCATTTTTCATGCTTTTAGTTTAGCTATGTCATGGGAATGATGGAGATCAAAGCACCATATATAAGCACATAGGATGAAGATTATAGAGGATGCAAACTAGCATTGAAGTGAGAGAGTTGTTCGTGCAAGATTTGCGACTACTAAGTGAGAGTCAGTGCTCGTTGGTCCAAATTCTAAGACAACCCAAGAGAGGGGTGAATTAAGCTTTTCAAAGTTTCTAGCTTTCAAGTAATTACCCAATCATATTTGTATATAATGTATGCTATAAGGTAAAAAAATTTCTTCATATAAGTATTTTCATTAATAATATGTGTAAAATGTATGAATAAAAGTGAAAATCTTAGTTTCTGTTCAAGTTTTCAATGATAATAATGATAATATCTATTGACAATAAAAAAAAAATATTTAGCTTTAGATAAAAATCTGAAAATATGTACAAAAAATATGGGGTAAAATGAGAAATCATGTATTATTGAGGAATATATATTAAAGATAAGTTTCAAAAGAGAAGAAGAGATATTACAGACACAATTTATGGGGATTCTATTTACAACTTGTGTCTACATCCTCTTTATAAATCAACTATTTATATTCTACTATTTTCTTCACATTCTTAACAACAAATTAGTTGCTCCTAGTGTCTAACTTAAAAATATATATATATATATATATATATATATATATATATATATATATAACAACAAAAATAGTACAAAAGTTATTTTTCTATTCAAAACTATTAATAATTTTTTATATTACTAATATTTTAGGATATTGTACAATCCAATTTATTATACAAGCATAAAATCTTTAGTTGTAGTGCTCACAGTTAGGGACTGAAAAATCAAACTATAACTGGTTGCTCAATCCAAACCAGATTAGTTATGGTCTAGTCCGACCCTGACCTAAACCCGAATAATTAAATTAATATAAAAAATTTAAAACCATCTAAACCTTTTAAAACCCCTCTTCCAGTCCCTACTCTCTGGCCACTTCCTCCTCACCCTGTTGGGCATTACTTTCTGCCTCCACCGTTCTCTATGACCCCTAGTTCTAAGATACACTGTATATATATTTTATATATCTTATATTCTAGAAAATACACTAGTTGGAATTGATTTGCAGGATATATATAAACATATATAATACTTTTTTTATTTAAGACGTTAAAAAAAATTGGTTTCAACTCAATTCTAATTAGACGGGAGTGACCCGAACATATATAGATTCCATCGTTAATCCAAAAGTTTTCTAATCTTCATCGTCACGTAAAGGGCAACTTTTCTTTTGATTAAAAAGTTTATGGAAGTCTTAATTTTGACATTTACCAAAGTAATGTCATCAAAATTAGTACACAAATCTAAAAAGTAACAAAGGGAAAAGAAAAGGCCAACTCATTTGTCTTTTGATTAAAAATTTATACACGTCTTAGCAAAATAATATCATCAACATACCATTTTTCTCCCATTTGTAATCCTAAATAACTAAAACTTCTTTTTCGTCATCTTTAAGATCCTTATCCAATATCAGACCTGCCCTCCTTTCATAATATGCAAGATATTAAAATATTATTATACCATGAAAATGTTATAACAAGAACAATTCGGATTTCAGAATATGCATACGCAGTATCTTTTATTATTACCGGCAGATCCATAAGTTCAATAGTTAAAAGAATCTCTTTTTAGCTTTTTGCCAAGGGAAATTCCAAATCGCAAGCTTCCAAGAATAGATATATATCAGCAATCCTCTGATCAAGTTTCTTATATCATTAGCAGCCTAGGGGACACATAAATCTTTGTATATTACGTATATACTTATATATGTGTTACTATATACCCAATGCAATCCGTCACTTACTGTCAACAACCCACTCAATTACATACACTCCATGAAAGGCTATAGGTGTCCATAAAACAAATAATGACAGCTGAGTCTCCTGAAAAGGAGTTTAAAGTATCTTAGATGCCAGGTTAAACTACTCAATCAGAAAGATAAGGTTCTCATGAAGAGTCTTTAAGAAAAAGAAATACATCTCTATAGAAATATTCAACTTCACCAAATCAAATAGCTTGCGCACAATACTTCTTGTTCTTTTCCCATGGAGAAGCCTGCAATAATTTGTAACAAGCTTCACTAATAAAACCAAAGCCACAAGATAAACCTGCAAACAACAAAAATAAAAGCACATTTTACAATGTTTCTCTAGGTTGTGTCAAACCTGAATTATTGAAAAAATTGAAACTACTGTATTCATCAATGCATATTCATACCGCAGATTTAGACATGGGACTCCCACCCGTCAAGCCACAACATGTTCTCAAATTGACTGCAGCATGATCAGGTGTTTGTCATATATAACTGCAAGAATGAGAGAGCAAGAGAGATGAGTAAGAAGCAAATAAGTACAAAATACTTCAGCACACACCTCAAACGAATTGAGAAAAAAAGTCAAACTTGATTCAAGAACAGGAATGACAACCTAAGATATCCTGGAACAAATTGCGGCCCAGAGTGTGCTCCAGGACAAAAGCTGGAGATCACAAAGGGCCTGGAACAAGGCCTGCATCACCAAATAATAGCAAGTTAATGAATTTAGAGCAGCTATTGGGCCAGTAAAAAAGAAAGAATATGAAGGGATGTTACAAAGAGAATATTTACCTTCATCAGCTTATTCAAACAAGATTGATGTTAACTAAGTATATCACTTGCTAAAGCTCATCTCCGAGTATCTGCATGCATACATAAGAGGCAATTCAAGATTCAGAAAATACATACACTAAGAGAGAGAGAAATAAGGTATCTGCCCCAGCAGAGATAAAGAATCCCTATAACAGATTAAAATATTCTAACTTACCTGCGAGGCTGCTTATTTGGGTTGTTTTGTCGCTGCCCAAATTCATCACTCACAAGCTCTGCAGAATGAGGAGTTGATCAAATTATCACATAGAAAAGATGTTTCTAATGGCATTTTGAAGACTATAGGGAACAAACAAAAGCCACATGACTGTTACCAGGTCTCTGGGAAGGCTTCCATTCATTATTTGATTTATTTGTATTATTCTCTTTGCTGCAAAAGAATAGTTACAATCATATCAGGAATAATTATTAAGTGCTGAAAAATCATTTCAGCAGCCAGTAACAAGTTAAACTACAGGCTAAGGCTACGAGATTCTCAAATTGGAAAGATACTTATTTCGTATAAGTCAAGCCAATAGGATGAACTAAACGAGTTCTGCACCATGAACTTTGTATTTCAAAGGAAGTGTGAGGAGAAATGGCAAAAAGATATTGGAACATCAATTTGGAAGAGACGATGGAAGCAGGAGTTCATTTTGGTCATGGTACTAGACAATGGATGTTTTTTTTTACCACCACACAAAGAAAATATTTTGTTGCGAAGTGTTTAATAAAATATTGCTTCTTTCATTCATGTATTGAATTTTACCAAAAGAAAATGACTCATTTAAAAAATTATTGCTTTTACCAAAAATTCTTATGACTTTTCGAAATGTAATGACTAGAGGAGCTACTGATAATAATGATCCACATAACAGAGCGGCGTTTTAATAAAAGTATCCAAGCAAGCAATAATGCAGCTAAATGTAAAAAAGGCAATAGCTAAATGGTAACATACTGTAATATTTACGTGGCACATGTAATAGATATGTGTCACCATCAAGCATGCTAGCATGCAAGTGTGGCACAATAAAGCTGATTATACATCATGAAGAAAAAACCAAATATTTAAGTTACTATGTCCTATTCTACAGAAACCTCTTTTATGAGTGGATCGTTAGACTATGACTTACTGCAAACCAACATATATCTTGTGCAACCTTGGTCTATCCAGAGTTAAAACTACAAAAGTCCCATTAGTTATTCAAATCCAACATCCAAATCTACAATTCTCAATGCTAATTAGGACAAATATGCTACAAACCTCGAGGATCCCACTGAAGAAGTCTGTCCAGATGGGCGAGCATTATAAGAACCATCAACAGCAATGTAAGGTGAACAATATGTAGCCCCCAAAGCTCCAGCAGCACCCGCCAAAACTGGTAGCCTAAGTATCAAGAACATATATATTATGGCCCCAATTGAACAAATACAAAAAGAAAATCAGTGGAAAAAAGAAAAGGAAAACAAATTAAGAAAAAATACATTTAGTGGAGCCAAAGAAAAATATCCTTTTACAAAGAAGTTGCATACCATGTCATTTCAGAATTTCCCAAACCATGTGGCTGTGCAACATATCCAGGAAATGCCATGCCAACAGCAGGAACCCCAAGACCACCTGGATGCTGACCTCCGAATTGCATAACTATAGATAAGCAAATCAACATATATAATATGTAAGCTGTAACAATTCAGAGCATTGGCAGAACCAAGACAGGGCAAGTAGGGGCAATGATCTCCCCTCCAAACTCTTGGCTCCAATATATATGAATAAACTATTATAGTTACATGACTTTCCTCTAACCAAAGAACATGTGTATACATATGGCCCTTGTCTTACATAGTAGTCTTACATATATAAGAAATGTTCGTACATGCATAAAGACTATCATTTGGAGAAACCAGAGAAGGGAAGGTGGAAGTGGAGAAGGGAATGATCCCCTTTCACCCTTGGCTCCAAAATATATGCATATACTATTTTATGTACATGTCTTCTATACCAAATATAATGTATATATTATGTATATATGACTTTTTGTAACCAAATATATACAGATATAGCACTCCCTACATGATACTTGCATACAGACATATTTAATATACATGCATGTATAAAGGATACTATATATGATATATGTTACGAAATATATGTTGAAGTTTAGTAAGTATTACATTTTTAATTTTTTATTTAATAATAAAATATTTGAATATAAATACAAATTACATTTTTACATGTTTGCTTATATATATATATTTATACATGTGCAAGATAAAATAGAACATAAATTGAATAAGATGTTTGCGGTAGAAATAGAATTAAATTCATTGCAAAAACACACTTAAAAATATAGAAGTTTTAGTACATATACTCAATCTAAATATTCTACAGACACTCAAAATTCTTTTTCCTCATAAATAAAAATAAAATAATACTTATATAATAATTAAATAAAATATGTATTTATAATTTAAATTGGGGCTCTGCCCTGCATCCCCAACTCTCCATAATAAACTACTATATTGACATAGTATTGCTCCCAACAAAAAAATCCTGGTTCTGCCACTGATTTGCGGGACTAATTTAGAGTTCAACAGAAGTTCTTTACTAGACCCCAGTGTCTCAGATACGTGGAAGAGAAACTAAAAAGAAATATATCTACCAGTCAGACAATACATTTGTTAATATCTGAAGTAACAGAGAACAAAAAAGTAATAACATATTCATCAAATCATTAAGTGTAGGCAAGAGACAAATTCAACTCCAATTAAAAAAGAATAAAAAAAAAAG